TTGAAAGACCAGTAGGGTACTCAAATTCTTTACTGCTTTAAACAAAATGTTTAAAAGCCAAAAACCAAATCAAAAGCTGTAAGTACCGAGTTTTCTCATTGGCCAGGAAGATTGACCGATTTTGTTGAGATATTGATCTGCTATAACGCACATCCACTGATTCAGTGCCCATTTAATGAACTCCTTCTCTTTAAAATGAGCACCAACGTTTTTCATAAATTATTTATCAGGGAAGAATATGTATATAACTCATGGCAGCTCTTATCAATAAATGGGCATTTTGGCACAGTTTAAAGGGTCTTTTTTGTCCATAGCTTTGGGAAAAGACAAACTAGTAATGATAGGAACATTAATAATTTGATAGGCTTCAAAGAGAAAAGTCACAAGCCAAGCTAAACAAATTTAGAGGTTTTTATTTGTTTGTTTGGGGCCATATATAATACACACTGGCTTGGTGCTTAAGGACTGCTCCTGTGTTCTGTTTGTGCCATGTGATAAACAGTGCATGAAATGGGCTTTCTACATGCAAAGCATGCACTCAGCTTACTTAATGCGCTCACTGGCCCTCAAAAAAATAAGATTGAGGCGAAGATATGATCAAACTACTGTTTTCATTTTCCATGCAGAGGGAGTCGAGGTGCAAACAAGTTGAACACTGAATACTAGAACTCTGTTATTTGGGTTTATCTTTGGTATTTTCAAAACACCTAAGTATCGTTTCTCTTCCTTATGTATTGTGACCAACTTGTGTGGCTGATGTCCTCATGGAGAATGAGTTATTTTAGTGTCGAACTGTATATATTCATAGATATCCATCTCCTATCATATCATACGTTGAGATAATTTATTTATTTATTTGCCCTTTTGGTCACACCTGGCAATGCACAGGAGTTACTCCTGGATCTGCGCTCAGGAATTACTCCTGGAGGTGCTTGGGGAACCACATGGGATGCCGGGAATTGAAAACCGGCTCGACCACCTACAATGCCCTAACCACTGCGCTATCACTCCAGCCCCCATTGAGATTACTTCTAAGGTCTCTAAATGAATATTATTTCAACTTAGTGTGGTGTGGCAATGACCACCTCAGGTCTACCAGAGCTCTTACTCATGTTTATCAGAGGAAGCATGCATATATGACAGTGTCAGTGAAAGAATAGTTTCCTGTCCCAATGCTAATAGGACAGGATGCATTTGCTCTGAATATTTTTAGACATACTGAACATGATTTCACAGGTTCAATCGCCAGCCTGGCTCTGGAAGTCAGGTTAAGATGATTACAGTTATAATTCTTTAGATTTTTTTCTCTAGCATGAACAAAATTGTACAATACATTATCCTTGTGTAGAGGCACTTTTATTCTAAAGTTTCTGAACTTTAAACACATTATTCCCTTGATGTGACTTAAGCAGTGTCACATTTTAAAGAACTCTTCATCGAGAGTAAATTATTAAAATATTTGCAAAGGGCTCCTTTGTCATAGTATACTGAATGCTGTGGGAATTCTAACATAGAACCTGTATGGGAAGTTCTAAGAAAATAGACAAATAACATATAGTGTATATGTATGATGAACTACACAGGAACCATGCAAAGTCTTGCTTTGGGAAAATTATTTTATAATATGACTCGAAAGTCACACTGGGATCTTTTACAAAGTTGAAGGATGGTATGTATATTAAACCCAATTCCAAGTGCTTTCAGAATGTTGTTAAAGGATTTACCAGGAAAGGAAAATATATTAAAGGAATAAAACATAAAGCTTTATTCACTTCTATACAAGTTGAAAATCTAAGAGTCAGGTAAAGAAATATTTGTTTTTCTTTTTCTGAACTAAAGATTCTAGCTAGAAGTCAGATGGGAGAGTGTTATCATGGCATGCCCTGGAACTCCATAGTAGTAATTTACTGCACAATCACATTTCAGTTTGTTGTAATCCTTAGCGAAAGTCATGCTGGTGTTTCAGATTTGGTACCAAGTAGCACTGTAGCACTGTAACAGTCCTCCCGTTGTTCATTGATTTGCTTGAGTGGGCCCAGTAACGTCTCCATTGTGAGACTTCTTGTTACTGAGTTTGGCATATCGAATATGTGATGGAGAACTTGCTCTGCTTTGCTGTGCGGGTGAGATACTCTCGGTAGTTTGCCGGGCTCTCAGAGAGAGGCAGATGAATCGAACCGGGTCGGCTGCATCGGCCGCGAGCAAGGCAAACGCCCTACCACTGTGCTATCGCTTCAACCCTGGTACCAAGTATGTACTGAATTTTTTTTGAACTGCTCATTTAGTTTATATGGCAGCAATTGATGACACATGATATTACACAATGTCTATCCTTTAATTTTCAGTTTTATGCATTACTGGAAATTAAGAAATTGCAGGTTGTAAATGTAATGCTTAGACCAGCAACAAAGTAGGGTCAGGAGTAACATTTACAACACCTTCTTATTTTTATAAATTACACATACAAGCCCAAAACAGCACTGCAGTCATGTTACTCATCGCATAACATACCTTTTTACAAATAGCCCTGTTTTGCAAAATATTAGAATAAAATATACAGTGGGAGGGCAATAACTATGAAGACAACACAATACAGAGTTTGGTCAGTTGAATTTTGGAAGAGCATAGTGTAATAAAAATACAACAAATCATATACAGATTAGAGAATTAGAAATGTACATTCTACAACATGATCATATTGTGACTTTTGTTGTGAAAATGTGCTTGAGAAGAATGTAATTTGTTAATCACTGAAATGGTATGTGAGATAGATTAGATGGAGAGCTGTAATGCAGGTGAAGAATTGTGTAGCAAAAAAAAAAAAATTGCAGGTTGTTAAGCACTGTGAAATGCAGTTACCTGTGAATCTTCTTTCTTGCAGTCCTGAATCCATTTATCTCATAATACCCTCCAGTTTAATTATTGGAACTTAGCTGACACAATATTCTAGCAAGTGAATATAACTATTGATAGACTTGTTTGAACATTATATCAAGTAGGTTATTTGTTATATGTAACATAATGTACCAAATGCCAATACTCTCCCACAAAAAAACTATTTTTGTATTATATAATTCCTTGACTATTAAGTAAGAATTAGTGCAAATATATGTAGCATTTTACAGGCAATATGTATAAGGCAAAATCTATATGTTCAGAGCAGATACTCTGTAATAATTAGATTTTTAAAAATCATCTACAATGAATATTTTCTTGGTTATCAGGGAAACTAAATTTGAATTTTAAATATACATAATGAATTCATATTTTCTTCACTTGACTACTGAAAAGAAGTTCCACATTTTTTCAAAGGCATGTTCTTACTAACCTTATGCCTCTTAAATCCCAAAACATAGCATAGGGACTTGCAAATAGTAGAAAAGTGTGGATATTCATATCATGATGATAAAAAGCTACACTTCCATAGAAAAGATAAAGCATTGGAGGATTTCAGAATGAGGGGGAAAGTTCTCAAAATAATTGCATAAACTTTGCAACAACAACAACAAGAACAAAACATAAGAGAATTAAACATATCCTGGTAGAATGACCTCCTTGGCCAATCAGTAAGAGTTTGCTTCTGCAGGGATCTATGCCGTACTATTCTTTGAAAATAATGGATGCAGAAGAATATTGTGACTTTTGTCAACATACGTGGGTTGTTGTTAAAACTCATTATACATCGATGGTTTGGAATTTACAAGAAAAGAGGAATAACTTTTATTCTCCAGTAGCAAATAGAAAAAGTTCTCCATAGTTTATCTGAAGACGAAACAAAAGAAAACTTGTGACAAGGAAGAGTCTCTAGCACAATATAGGGCCTATTCACATAAGAGTTCCATTCCAAGATGTGATACTCCAAACAATTTCCTGATAATAAAAAAAATAGTAAGCTTTATTAAAGCAAATCAAGTTGGATTGAACTGCACTGTAGCACTGTCCCCCTGTTGTTCATTGATTTGCTAGAGTGGGCCCAGTAATGTTTCCATTGTGAGAATTGTTGTTGCTGTGTTTGGCATATTGAATATGTCACAGGTAGCTTTCCAGGCTTTGCCTTGCGGGCAAGATACTCTCAGTAGCTTTCTGGCTCTCCGAGAGGAGCAGAGGAATCGAACCTGGGTTGGGTGGGTTGGCCGCATGCAAGGCAACTACCCTATGTGCTGTGCTATCTCTCCAGCACAGATGTAACTATACATGAAAAAATTGAGATATAAATGCACTCTAATGTTGAATCTGAAGGTCAACAAAAGAATTGGAAACACTCTTGTTCTTAATAACTTTTGTTTTTCCTTTAGATTGATTGACTATATTTGAATCATCCCTCCTGGTGATTTCTCATGGGATACCATGTCGTGCTGGGGGTCAATCCCAGGTTTAATTTTTGAGATATCTTTATTGTTTTATTTATTTATTTTTTGGGTGGGGGAAAGTGATGGCAAATCCAGCTGCACTTAGGGCTTACTCCTGGCATTGTGCTCAGGGATTACTCCTGGTCAGTTCAGAGAATCATATGTGATGGCAGAATAATTAAACTTGGGTTGACACCATGCAAGGCAAGCTCCCTACATTCCATACTCTGGAAAGTTAGCTATATATAAACTCTGGCCCTGAGCTATCTTTCTTAATACAGTTCTCTTGTGCATATTTATAGGCAAACTGAAATTTGCTAGTTTGATCATTTTAAGGCATGTGTTAAAGTAAATAATGACAACACTGATGAGGATGATAATAATATCCCCTAGTTTTATTTAATAAGGCCCTCCCATTGATCATCGATTTGCTCGAGCGGGCCCAGTAACGTCTCCATTGGAGACTTTGTTGTTACTGTGTTTGGCATATCGAATACGTCACGGGGAGTTTGCCAGGCTCTGACGTGCGGGCGAGATACTCTCGGTAGCTTGCCGGGCTCTCCGAGAGGGGCGGAGGAATCGAACTCGGGTCGGCCATGTTGGCTGCATGCAAGGCAAACGCCCTACCACTGTGCTATCGCTCCAGCCCAAGGCCTACAGCACCCCGGTATTCCCAGGCGGTCTCCCATCCAAGTACTAACCAGTCCCGACCCTGCTTAGCTTCCGAGATCAGACAAGATCGGGCGCGTTCAGGGTGGTATGGCCGTAGACCACTATTTAATAATAAAATATAGAATATAGAACCCATACTTCTGGGTGTTTTCCTTTCAAATCGTGATTGATATTCTTACATCCTATATTGCCTTTTACCTGGCCTTCCACTGCTGCTAAGCCAGTCCTCTAATCATGTACTATGATGTAACTAGATCATCTGAGAATGGTTCCCTCAGTAGCATGAGAATCTGTTCGTTGTTCCTCTCATATTCTACTGTAGGTTTTTTGGATGCTATTGTGTAAGACATCAGCATTCACTCATGCACAATCACAACTATGAAAGGGTTAACGTTTCATGAAAAGTGTAGAAATTTCACTAAGAAAATTATGATGCTCATTAAATCTATAAAAAGCATGAATAACTTCAGTATACCTAAACCTCTATAATTTTAGTATATGTATGTTCTATGCAATATTGGAACTGTAATTACAATAAAATATAATTGCTTTAATATAATCCAATGTAACTGAGTATTCTGTATTTCATATGCCACTTTCGGGTTAATTATGGGTTTACATTTGGCCTCTACAGGATTAGAACGAAAGTTCAGTAAATGTTTCTTGAATTCCATGGATGAAAATCTGAGATTCATCCTATGCAGTAACTCAGAAGAGCCTAGTGGAGTAATGCAGCAGTTACCTACAGTCATGAGCAGATCTGTGTCATATGCCTGTATTATTTCTCCCTCCTTGCCCGTTTCACGGTTAATGAATTCCCTATTCTTGCTCCTTGCGGTCACATCCCCAAATAAGCTACTTGCATAAAAGCTTTTCTCTTATTTTCTTGTCTCCCTACCCCGACTTCACCTGCCTCTGGAATCAAGGAAAACACTGAAAATGGTAACAGTAAATTCTATTTAGTTATAGAAATGTTAAACCTAGACGGATAGCCTTTTAAAATGTGAAAACTGATTTCTAGAAGTTAAATTATATTGTCTAAGTTTACATTGATTAACCAGGGCAGGTGTGAACTTACACTGGAGGTGGCTCCTGACTTCTGTTCGAAACTCTGTAACTAGATTGTTTATGTTTATTTCATGCTACTCTTTAAAAGAAAAATTAATTTAAAATTTTCTTAAAATAGTATAGTATCATCTTTAGGAAAATAACATAGATAATTTATTATAGGAATAAAAAAATCTACACTCAAATTCCCACCAAATAAAATGAACTCATAATAGCAATTAGACTCATACTCTTTCAAACATCTTTTTAGCAGAGAATAAAATTAGAATCAATACAAGGCAACTAACATTTACTTGTATAAGCATGTGTGTGTATATGTGTGTGTGTGTGTGTGCGTATAATTGAATTTTCTCAAATAAGAAAAGGAACAGAAACCAAAGAAAATGCTTCAATTCATATTCACACTTCATTATAATAAGAAATAGTATTTCTTAAAATATCCCTTAAGAGTAATAAAGTGATCATAACCACACAGAAAAATCGGACTCATTATTGGTTTTAATTAAATGTTTCCTTTTTGTATAGTATTAATTGACTGCTCATTGTGAAAGATGAGGACATTAGCTAGCTCACATTTTTTCCTCTCCCTGGTCCTCCATCTTTGAATTTTTGTGAATTATGTCATCATTCCTTCTACATCTTCAAGTTCTTTAATGCCCATATCCAGTTTCATGAAGATATTTTCCAAAATTTCCTTTTATTACTTTTATGATCCAAAGGATCGAAATCTCAGTGACCCCTGCGCTACTCCACAGCTGTTCTATTCATAAGGTCTTTATTTTGAATCGTCTCTTAATTAGCTACAGATTTATTCATGAAATAAAGATTTTGTTTGCTTTCCTGTTTTAAAGAAGAGTTCTTAGAACCCATGGTATTTTAGTTCTTTTCTTTTGTTAGCATGTCTGCTTATTACCCTTGTATTTGAATGGTAACTATTTTTTGACACAATTTTCCCAGTTCTCATTTTCCTTCCCCTTGAGAATTTAAAGGTATATTTTCATGATCTCTGGCCTTTCAAGTTAGGATAGAAATCAGATTTTTTTCCTATTTGCAGATGATTTGCTTTTCTAGTCCAGATTCTGAAAGAATTATTCTTTTATCCTAGAAATCCAATAACCGAACTAGGCTATATCTTCAAGAAAATCCTTATGAAAATTTTATGCAAGTCTTTTTCAGTCTATATGTATCTGTGTATTTTGCATTTTTGTACCCTTTATAATTGCCACATGCTATGATGCATGCTTAAACACATGAATCTATTTCATGTAATTATATGGGACTTAAAGTATTTGGTATGTATTATTTTGAGACTGTGTCCAGTGGTTCTCAAAGTCTCTTCCTGACCCTGTGCTTGGGAGTCACTGCAGGCAATCCTTAGTGGACCATGTGGTAGTGGGGATTAAACCCAGGATTCGCCCATGCAACTCACGTGTTCGATTTTTTGAACTACCTCCTCAGCCCAAGGAACTTACATTTTTACTAAAGTATCATAGTTTATAATATCATTGATATGATCATTTTAAGCTTACATTCTACTGCACCAACCATCAGAGTGACAGTACCCCTCCGCACTACCCCAAAGTCCTTTCTACACACCATCGTCCTCAACCTTAGAAGGCTTTGTTGTCAATTCATGTGACAATATCTCAGGGTTAGTTTTCATAAATCATTGCTTCTTACTTTGATTTCTTAAAAATGATTACTCCATATCACATATGAGTGAATAATCTGACATTAAATGCATAATTATGATTCCAGTTCCATCTGAGATTTGAAGAAACAAAATGCCCACATTTGGAGTCTCAGCACTTTTATATGGCAGCATGAAGGCTGAAAAATTGATGAGCCACTGCATTGTTTTAGCCATTACTTTGCAAGATCAGAATATTGGTAGAATTGGTAGAATGCAAGCCAGAATCGGGAAAGTGGTATCATGAGAGAATTCACACACAAAGGTGTACCTGTCAGATTTTAATTTCAACTTCCTTGGTGGTATTTTGAAACTTAACATTTTACTCCATTAAAGGGAATCCATTTTGTCACAAAAGCCAGTCTAGTTAAGATGTGCAAGATAGTTCTGGGATATTTTTTAAGTCATGGAGAAGCAAACTTCAATGAATAAATTAAGGAAAAATGTCAGGGAACTGGAGCATGACCTGATACTTTCAATGTGTTTGCTTGTGGACTGTCTCCTACCCTTAAAGGAAAGTAAGCTCATATGTAATATTAGAATTCGACACTTTTATTCCTTTCTTGTAATGTCTAGGACGGAATTTATATTCATTCAGGCTCCAGTTTGAGGGCTGTGTTTTAGTGCTTTGCCCATTTTTTCAGTATCATGAGATCACGGAGCAAATGAGGAACCCAACTGAGGAATAATTGATGTACCTTTGGGTAGAATGTCTAAACTTTTACTTCGTTGAATATTTTGTCTGATTTTTGTTTATGTATTTAGTATAAGATTCACCTTATGTAATTATGAGGTAAATTTCATTCTCATACTGAGATATTTGTAGCTTTGAATCATATGTCTCATTCATTGTAGAGTTCCGGAGTCATTGTTTTTCTCACTCAGCTGCTTTTCACTATTCCCTTTTTGTGTATTTATCTCTAATGGCTATTTCTTGAATCCTAGTAAAGACAAATAAAAAATTAATAAGTAAGGGTGCCTTCCCAATATTTCTGTAAAATGTTAAATATTTATTAACATTTTCAGGTTTTCTTTTTATTAATCAGGAAGTATAGGATAAAAGTGATAGGAGGCTATCATTGAAAGTAGAAATCATTAGATTTTTTTCAGAAAGCAGTTTTTATAAAATATATGCTTTAAGGGTCTAGGATAACATACAAGGACTAAAACTCTTGCTTTGCATGCAGTCAGCACTAGTTCAATCCCTAGAACCCATTATGGTCCCCTGAATAAGCCAGGAATGATTGATCCCAGAGCACAAAGCCAGGAATAATCCTTGAGCACAGTGAGTGTGATGTAATTATCACAATCCTCTCCCCCAGCAAAATCTATAGTTTAGACATTTAGGCATCATGTCCGGCTAATATTTTTCTTAATAACTATGTTCTTTAGTTTTCATTCTTTAATGAGGTTGGTGTTTTTAATATTAGTTCAATTTTTCCATTTTTACCTCTCCACTAAGTTTTCAGAAATAATTTCAAAATTTCCTGAATAATGGCATCTTCTGAAAGTAGAACATAATGTGTTTTTTTCTCATTTAATCATTTAAACATATTAGTGTGCATAGCTGTACTCTCTAATGGTTAACACAAATGTCTCTTAAGGTCCATCAACAATATTAGCAAAATTTAGTATAAGAAATCTTTTATTTGAATAGAAATGTACTGGTTTCACAATAGATAATCATAGATAAATCAATGTTTTTCATAAGGAACAAATAGTTTATTGCTACTATAAGGTCTCGATTAATGAAGTAAACTAAAAAGAATAATCTGGAAGACTAGGATCAATAGTTTATCCTAAACTGCAACTTTGTAAGGGATCATATTCATCAAACTGATGTAGTTAACAGGAAATGAAAAGAAATATTCCATAAAACATAAAAAACAAAATTTATTAAGTTAATGGAGTAATTTTTGCTTATATTTGTTTATTTTGTTCTTTATTAATTTATCATCAAAGAAATCACATTGATCCTTCCATTTCTCAATGCAATGTAGCAAATAATAATCCAGGTGTGTATGTACCTTTCACTGCTCCATAGAAAATGAGATTGAACCACTTACAATTTAAGGAAGTGTCCACACTCCATGTTAACTCTGTCCAGAAAGCATCAGTCGTCTCAGATTTCTTCGCAAATTGCAGAAGCCTATTTCTGAAAAAAGAAAAAATCTAATGATTTATACTTTCATTGATAGCATGATAGCATGGCTCTGACCTTGTCTCACTTTTATCCCAAACTTCCTGATTACTAAAAATAAACTCTGAAAATGTTACTAAAATAAATGCAGAAGCCTAAATCTAGTGTTCAATCTGACACTAGAATCTTGATTGTCCTGAT